TCCTGTCTCAGCCTCTGGAACTACCGCGCCCAGCAATTGAGCATTTATTATGTGCCAGACATTGAGCTCTTCACCTTCCTCTCACTATTACTGTGCCCTGCAATGCTCCAGAGGCCCCCTAACCTCTCTGTGCTCATTTCCTCACCTGTAAAAAGGGAACCATGATGGCACATACCGCATAGGGTAGTTTCAAGGATTAAATGAGTTCACATTTATAAAGTGCTTACAGCGGTGCCTAGCACTTAGCAAGCACTCTCTATGTGTTTGATAAATACAAATAAGTGAAATAAGTAAAGGTTATTACTCCATTGTACTGTTGGGGAAACTGAGGCTCAGAGTTAAAGAGACAAGAACGCTGAGAGGGTTTCCTGCTTCAGCCTTCTTTATTCTTCACCTGCAGATCCCTCAAAGAGATGGGATCAGCAGTGAGGAGGAGGCAGGTGAGAAGATAATGGAGCCCCAAAGTGGGTCATGAGCCCCTAAACCAGCCTCCCCCGGTGTGTGATTTGGTGGGCAGCAGGTTCTGAGCATTTGGAGAACCAGCCAGAGAGGCTACCACAGAGAGAGCAGGACCCGTCACCCAGCCAGGTGCAGGCCCCAGGCCGGGGAAAAGGAGGCAAAGAAGCCCCAGAAAGAAACAGAACAAGGAACGCAGGAGAAAACCCTGAATGAAGAACCAGGAGTGAGTTCTGGCTCAGCCTGGGCAGGCTTGAGCAGGCCACTGTCCCCTGCTAAGCCTGTTTCTCCATCTCTACCACGGGAATCATTGAACCTCCTAGTAAGAGTGTTGTGAGAATTAAACCAGCTAACACAGGTAATGATTAGAACAGTGCCTGGCACTCGGGAGGCGCCTTGGAAATTTTAGCTGTTAATGTTACTCTTCTGATCAAAATGGGCTGCCTCGGATGACTCCTGGGAGCCTGGAGAGGATCCAAGATGCTTCTAGTGTGCTTTTTTAAAAAATTAAAGTAAATTGAAAACAGAGTCTCGCTCTGTTGCCCGGGCTGGAGTGAGGTAGAATGATCTCGGCTCACTGCAACCTCCACCTTCCAGGTTCAAGCAATTCTCCTGCCTCAGCCTCCCGAGTGTCTGGGACCGCAGGCACGCACCACCACACTCAGCTAATTTTGTATTTTTACTAGAGACGAGGTTTTGCCATGTTGACCAGGCTGATCTAAAACTCCTGACCTCAACTGATCCACCTGCCTTGGCCTCCCAAAGTGCTGGGATTACAGGCGTGAGCCACCACGCTCAGCCCACCATCCATTTTTGCCAGAACCTGGGATGATCTTTGCTGACTCAGTGACACCAGGCATACTCCTACATCCACTCTACCCAAATACCTCAGGTGCCACAGCCACTGACTGCCTGCTGCCATGCCCACACTGGGCAGCACCCTGTTCACTCAGCTCTGCATCCTCAGAACCTGACATGTTGCCTGGCACATAGTAAGCACCTGATAATATTTGCTGAATGATCACATTATTTTCATATGTAGTCCACCCAAGCCTGAACTGAGCCATCTCTTCCAGCCAAGCCATCTTGGAAGGCATCCAGTAGCCTGCCACATCCATGTGTGTGTCCCACCCACCAGCACGTGGGCCATCCCAGGCCGTACCCATCAGGCCCTCCCAGGCCCTGTGGCCCCAGCTCCGTACTCACACCACACCAGGCCTCAGGCAGGAGTCTGAGGTCCAGTAGAAGTCTCTCACCACGCGCCAGGGCAGACGGTAACGGACGTAGTCACGGCAGCAGATGCTGTCTTCCATGTTGGCACCGTAGGGGCCTGGGAGAGGGATACCCAGGGAATTCACAAGCTGGAGCCCAGAGAGGTCACCATCGGCCCCAGCCCCTGACCTCGGCCTCTTCAGGCCCCAGAAAAAAGATGCAGTTTTTCTGTTCTCATGGAAGGATGGCGACCGGAAGATTCTGAGCCCTCCAAGACACTATCCTTAGAGCTTCTGAGAAGCCACTTAGGGCCCAATGTCTACACTCTGGGATAGTCAGCTCCAGGAGCAGGGATTCAGAACAACTAAGCATCAGCTGTACCCCAAGATGAGACTCGGTGACTCTGAGCCATAAGGAGCCTTAGATTCTTGCTGTTCAAGGTGAGGTCCATGGTCCATGGCATCGGCATCACCTGGGAGCTTATCAGAAATGCTCAGCCCCTGGGCCCCAGACCTACTGAATCCAGAGTGCATTTTGACAGGCTCCCTGGTGATCTGACAGCACGTGGGCATTTGGAAAGTCTGCTTCTGCTCATATCTGCTCCAAACCCCTTCAGTGTGCACTGGGGAGCCTGTGGTCCAGAGAAGGGGAGGCACTTGCCCAGGGTCACACAGCAAATACAGCAGAGTCAGGACCAAAGCTCAACAGAGGACAGTCACATAGACCTGGGTTAGATTCCTGCTTTCCCCTGACACACTGGGCCACCCTGACCAAGTCACTGAACATGTCTGAGGCCCAATTTTCTCCTCTGACCAAAGGAGTAATAACAGTACCAGCTTCAGAGGGTCTTTAATGCATGAAACGCCACTGCGCTCCAGCCTGGGCGATAAAGACTCCATCTCAAAAAATAAATAAACAAAATAAAGAATAATTTTAGGCTGGGTGTGGTGGCTCATGCCTGTAATCCCAGCAGTTTGGGAGGCCAAGACAGGTGGATCACCTGAGGTCAGGAGTTCAAGATCAGCCTGGCCAACGTGGTGAAACCCCATGTCTACTAAAAATACAAAAATTAGCTGGACGTGGTGGCGAATGCCTGTAATCCCAGCTACTGAGGAGACTGAGGCAGGAGAATCGCTTGAACCCAGGAGGCGGAGGTTGCAGTGAACCAAGATTGCCCCATTGCACTCCAGCCTGGACGATAAAAGCAATACTCCATTTCAAAAAATAAAATAAAATACATAAAAATAATAATAAATTTTAAAAAATGGATGGTGGGAGGATAGCACCAGCTTTCCAAGGAAGAATTTGCTTTGCCCCAGCCCAGGCTTCCCCCACGAAAGCCTGCCCCCTTAGAAGCTCTTCACCCACACCCCCAGGGCCCTATGCTTTGGTTTTCTGGGGCAGAAGATCCCAAAGCTGTTCCCATCGCAACTCCCAGCCTAGCTGAGACAGATCCTAGACTCCAAGCCTTCAAGACTACCCATTCAACAGACACGTAAACTGAGGCCCAGGGAAGCGCTGCAACCAGCCTAAGGCCGCCAAGAGCCAACAGCAGACTGAGGTCGTCCGATCTCAGTCCAGTGCTTGTCCAAGACATGAGGAAGACACCCCAGTGTCCACCCTGGCCTCTGCAGGGGGCCTTCCTGCCCCCCAGCCTCACCTGCCTCAGTTGCTTGAAGCGTCACAGCAAGGAGAACGAGGGCAGCCAGGAGCGCGGTCTGTAAGCGAGCCATGCTCTGTCCTGTATGTGTCAGCCCAGGTGTCTGCAAAGGGCCATAGGAGACCTGGTTTTTAAGTGCACTGGCTCCACCCACAAACCTCACTCACTATCTCTTAGTCACTGTGGTGTCCAGAATCTCTTGACATTCACATCACCAAAAGAACTACCTCTCACTTCCTCCAAAATGGAGAAATTCTCTTTGGCGGGGAACCACTCAGAGGGGACCCCCCTCAACTCTGTCCTCTCCTCTGGTTTCAGAGACTTGTAAAATCCCCCTCTTAGAGGCTCGTGCTCCCCGGGGTCTCCTCACTGTGTGGCTTTGGCCATGTCTGGGTGTCTCTGGGACTTGGTCTCCCTATCCGGTAACAGAGATGGTTTCACAGGCCTGTTGACTTCACTGGTTTTAGATCAGGTGCGAGTGTGAAGCAACCCTCTCCTGGAATTGAGGCCTGTCTCGTACCCTTCGTGACGGTGTCACTGACCTCTCTTCAGTGCGAGAGGCCTGCGAACCCGTTGACCCATCGCCAGCCTCCTCTGGGGATTCTCGCGAAGTCCACATTGGCCAGGTCATGGATTTCTCAATGGTTTATGAAAAGCACCCACCCACACTTCTGTCCTGCCTGATCTTCCTTCCTTCCCAGTGGCTACCGGGCCCTTCCTCCCCAGCTCCCCTCTCAGTCCCTCACCATGTCCGTGTCCCATTGACACTGCTCCTAAATGTCCCTCAGCTCTGCCCCCTTCTCTCTAACCCCACTGTCCCTGCCCAGTGCAGGCCACCTCCACCTTGGGCTGGGATGCTGGCCCCCTGGATGCCGTCCCCACCCTGCCGCAGCCACAGTAGGCAGTCCAGAGCTGCACACTCTCTTTCCTGCTTCGAAACCCTGCTGTGGCTCCCCATTCACCTAAGGGCAGAGCCCGGGCTCCTGTCTGTGGCCTTCAAGGCCCGCTTCCCAGACAGGCCTCTCCCCTGTGGTCTCCTTTCCCTGAGGGATAGCACCATACTCCTCACAGTTCCTCAAAAGGGACTGTGGCCTGTCCCTGGCTTTAATGTCGCTCTCCACAACCCTACCACATAAACTCCTACTCAGGCACCAAAGTTGTGTGAAATGTCACATCCTTGGTAAGCACACCCCCGCAGGACCTCAAAGCCATCTAGGGGACATGGCATGTGGCCCTGAGTAGATTGTGTCAGGTTTTGTCTTTTTCAAGCCCCTCCTTAGAAGCCAAACTCCAAGCTCTAGGAAGACTAGGGTCTCCCTTAATTTTTCTTGGCATTCCCAGTGCCCTCTAAGGATCAGGCACATGGTGGGTGCTCAGAACACATCTAATGGGCTGGGTGCAGTGGCTCACGACTGTAGTCCCAGCATTTTGGGAGGCTGACCTCGATCACCTGAGGTCAGGAGTTCAAGACCAGCGTGGCCAACATGGAGAAACCCCATCTCTACCAAAAAATACAAAAATTGGCCAGGCATGATGTCACATGCCTGTAATCCCAGCTACTCGAGAGGCGGAGGCAAGAGAATGACTTGAATTTGGCAAGAGGAGGAGTTTGCAGTGAGCTAAGATTGTGCCACTGCACTCTAACCTGGGTGACAGAATGAGACTCCATCTCAAAACAAAACAAAAAACATATCTAATGAAGGAGGAAACTGAGGTTCAGAGAAAGACCGGACTTGCCCACTTCGCACATCCACACAGCGGCTACCCCAGGCCTAGGACTCAGACTTGGGACTCCATTTGTAAAGGGACCCATCCATTTATCCATTCCTTCATTCAACAAATATTTAATGAACCTTGTGGTAGACAGAATAATGTTCCCCAAAAATGTCCACATTCTAATCCCCAAAACTTATAAATACGTTACTTTACATGGTAAAAAGGACTTTGCAGATGTGACTGATTACAGTTTAGATTTTTTTTTTTTTAGAGGCAGGATCTCACTCTGTCACACAGGCTGGAATGCAGTGGTGCAATCGCAGCTCACTGCAGCCTCGACCTCCTGAGCTCAAGTGATCCTCCTGCCTCAGTCTCTCAAGTAGCTGGGACTATAGGTGCATGCCACCATGCCCTGCTAATTTTTATGTTTTGTAGAGATGGGGTCTCACTATATTGCCGGGGCTGGTCTTGAACTCCTGGCCTCAAGCAATCCTCCCGCCTCTGCCTCTTGAAGTACTAGGATTATGGATGTGAGCCACCATATCTGACCTAGGATCTTTAAGAGGGAGATTTCTTGGATTATCTGAACAGTCCCAAGGTAATCACAGGGCAGGGTCATTTCAAGAGGGAGGCAGTGGGTCAGAGTCAGAAGAGATGATGGATGACAGAGCAGAGGTCCCAGTGATGTGGAACCCAGGGATGCAGGCAGGCTGGAGAAGACGGAAGATGCACGGAAAACAGATTCTCCTCTAGAGCCTCCAGAAAGAGCTCATCCCTCCCACACCTTGATTTTAGTCTCCTGAGACTGATCTAGGACTTCTGACCTCCCAGGCTACTGGATAATACACATTTGTGATGTTTTAAGCCACCAAGTTCGTGGTCATTTGTTACAGCAGCCAGAGGAAGCTCATACAAGCACCTACTATGTGCCAAGTGCACTGCCAGAGTCTGGGAATGCAGCCTGAACAGGAGAGCAGGGTCCCCTGCTCTCACGGAGTTTGTCTTCGACAACAGACAAACATGGCAAACAAGGTAATGTCAGGCTGGGAGGAACACCGGGAAGCGAATGAAACAGAGAAGCAGCTCTGGGACAGGCAGTCAAGAAAGGCTTCTAGGAGAGGTGATGATATTTCAGCTGAAATTTGAAGGTAGAAAGGAGGCCGGGCACGGTGGCTTACACTTCTAATTCCAGCACTTTGGGAGGCCGAGGGGGGTGGATCACCTGTGGTGAGGAGTTCAAGACCAACCTGGCCAACATGGTGAAAACTTGTCTCTACGAAAATTACAAATATTAGCCAGATGTGGTGGTTATTTTTTTTTGCACACCTGTAATCCCAGATACTTGGGAGGCTGAGGCAGGAAAATCGCTTGAACCCAGGAGGTGAAGGTTGCAGTGAGCCGAGATTGCCTGGGAGACAGAGCAAGACTTGGAAAAAGAAAGAAAAAGAAAGAAAGAAAGAAAGAGAAGAAAGAAAAAGAAAGAAAGAAAGAAAGAAAGAAAGAAAGAAAGAAAGAAAGAAAGAAGGAAGAAAGAAAGAAAGAAAGAAGGAAGAAAGAGAAAGAAAGAAGGAAGAAAAAAGAAAGAAAGAAAGAGCAAGGAAGGAAGGAAGGAAGAAGGAAGGAAGGAAGAAAGAAGGAAGGAAAGAAGGAAGGAAGGAAGGAAGGAAGGAAAGAAGGAAGGAATGAAGGAAGGAAGGAAGGAAGGAGCCTGCCAGGGAGGACATAGCAGATGCAAAGGCCCAGATAGAGTGAGAGAGCTAAACAGCTGAGACAGAGTGGGTAGAGGAGCAGAGCGCAGCTGAGGGGGGAGGCTGGCAGGCAGGGACTGCAGGGTTTCTGTGAGCTCCTGCTAGGACGCAATCTGAAGGGCACTGCGTTACCTTAGAGGACCTCCTATCAAAAGGCGTGACCCAGGGTCAGTCACAAAAGAACAAACACTGTGTGATTCCACTGCTTTGGGGAACCCAGAATAGTCACATTCACAGAGACAGAAAGCGGAATGGAGGTTGCCAGGGGCTGGGGGTGGGGGAATGTGAGTTAGCATTTCATGGGGACACAGTCTCTGTTTTGCAAGATGAAAGCTCTGGAGGTGGATGGTAGTGATGGTTGCGCAATGCGAATGTACTTAATTCCACTAACCTATACCCTTAAAAATGGTTACAATGGTAAATGTTAGTTATTCATATTTTTACCATTCTTTTTAACAGGTGCTTCCCTAGAATCAAATCAAGCCCCAGTATTAATTCCCAGTTTACAAGAAATAAAGGGGCTAGAGGAAGATGATAAATGACCCCATGAGGAAGCAATCAGACAACCCCAGAAGGTGGAAACTTCCAGATCCTCTTCAGGATAACTGTGCCCAGGTCATTAAAAAGTTAATGTTGGCCAGGTGTGGTGGCTCGCGCCTGTGAGCACTTTGGGAAGCCTTGGCTGGCGGATCACTTGAGGTCAGGAGTTTGAGACCAGCCTGGCCAGCATGGTGAAACCCCATCTCTACTAAAAACACAAAAATTTAGCTGGCTTTGGTGGTGCAGGCTGAGGCATGAGAATCACTTGAACTTGGGAAGAGAAGGTTGCGGTGAGCCGAGATTACGCCACTGCACTCCATCCTGGGTGATGAAGTGAGACTCTGTCTCCAAAATTTAAAAAAAAAAAAAAAGTTAATGTTGTTTTTAAAAAATAATAAAGTAGATAGAACATTTAAGATTAAAAGAGGCTTAAGAGATGTAACAGCAAAATGTGATACATGGACTTTGATTGAATCCTAGTTTTGAAAACACAGGCAGGGTGTGGTGGCTCATGCCTGTAATCCCAGCACTTTGCGGGGCTGAGGTGAGCAGATCACTTGAGACCAGAAGTTCAAGATCAGTCTGGGCAACATGGTGAAAACCCCTCTCTACAAAAAATACAAAAAAATTAACTGAGTGTAGAGGTGTGTTCCTGTTGTTCTACCTACTCGGGAAGCTGAGATGGGAGGATCACTTGAGCCCCGGAGGCAGAGGTTGCAGTGAGCCAAGATTAGGCCACTGCACTCCAGCCTGGGTGACAGAGTGAGACCCTATCTTAGAAAAGAAAGAAAGAAAAAAAGGAAGAGAGAGAGAGAGGGAGGAAGGAAGAAAGAAAGGAAAAACAGGGGGCTGGGCACAGTGGCTCATGCCTGTAATCCCAGCACTTTGGGAGGCTGAGGGGGGTGGATCACCTGAGGTCAGGAGTTCGAGACCAGCCTGGCCAACACGGTGAAACCCCATCTCTACTAAAAATACAAAAATTAGCCTGGCATGGTGGTGTGCACCTGTAATCCCAGCTACTCAGGAAGCTGAGGTAGGATAATTGCTTGAACCCAGGAGGCGGAGGTTGCAGTGAGCCAAGATGGCGCCATTGTAGTCCAGCCTGAGTGACAGAGCAAGGCTCCATCTCAAAAAAAAAAAAGAAAGCAAAAGAAAAAACAGCTCTAAAAGATATTTTGGGGACCAGAGGGGAAATGTGAATACTGGCTGGATAGTATAGTACATAGAAGTTGCTTTATTGTTGATTTTCTTCGGTATAACATAGAAGAATATCCTCATTCCTAGGAGATGCACATTGAAATATTTAGGGATAAAGGGCATGATGACCTTAGCCCTAAACCTTTCAAAGAGTCCAGAGGAAAAAAAATTGTGTGTATATGTATATGGACATGTGTGTAATGTGTGTATACATGTATGTCCATATCTACATATGTGTATTGATATGAATATGTATGTAACATGTGTATATATATGTGTGTATGTGCAGCTACAGATGTATGTACATATGTATATGTGTGTATATATATGAATGTGTATGTGGTGTATGTGTATATGTGTATGTATAACTATAGATGTATGTGCATATCTATATATATGTCTATCTATATGAATATGTATGTAATATGTGTGTATATATGTGTGAATATATTGCTACAGATGTATGTGCATATCTATATATGTGTGTATATATGGATGTGTATGTAGTATGTGTATATATATGCATATATCTATAACTATAGATGTATGTGCATATCTATGTGTTATCTATATGAATATTATGTAATGCATGTCTGTATATGTGTCTCTATATGGATGTGTGTGTAGTACATATGTGTTTATAGATGTGCATATGTGTATATATAGATGTGTGTGTGTGTGCGCGCGTGTGCATTTCCCCCAGAGAGAGAAAGAGACTAAGCATATATGGTAAACTGATGGTCAACAGTGTTGCAGCTTGGCGGCGGATATGCTGGTGATCACTGAACTACTCCAAGGAATTTCCCGAATATTTTAAGTGTATCATATAAAGGCAACTGAAGGTATTGGGGTTGGGGGAAGAAAAAAACTAAATAAATAAGAATAAAATATGTAATAATAAAAACTTGGGGCAGTGGAAAGGAAATCTTTTTTTTGTTCTTTTTTCTTTTGAGATGGATTCTCATGCTATCGCCCAGGCGGCAGTGCAGTAGCGGGATCTCAGCTCACTGCAACCTCTGCCGCCCAGGTTCAAGCAATTCTCCTGCCTCAGCCTCCCAAGTAGCTGGGATTATAGGCACCTGCCACCGTGCCCAGTTAATTTTTGTATTTTTAGTAGAGACAGGGTTTTACCATCTTGGCCAGGCTGGTCTTGAACTTCTGACCTCATGATCCACACGTCTCGGCCTCCCAAAGTGCTGGGATTACAGGCGTGAGCCACCGTGCCTGGCCAGGAAATATTTTTTAAATGAAGAAGTCATCCTGTGACCAATGGGTGGCTGTTGGAGGACTGAAAGTGAGTGACGGAGAATTGACCTGGTGGCCCTTCATCAGAACCTGGGGTTTTCTTACCTGGGGCACTCCAAGGCTGAGCCCCCTCTATGGGTGGGCTCAGGGGCTACCCACTGGAGAGCCCCTGAGTCCCCGGGGACTTGGCAGGGCCCCAAGTCCTTGCTGCTGGCTCAGCCTCTGCAGCAGCTGCCTTCCCCATCACCCCTCTCCCTGGACTTAGAAGGAAGGTAATCACACCTGGGGCCCAGCAGCCTTTGCACCCCCAGTACCTTGACCTTCTGGGAGACAGAGAAGAGGCAGGCATGGCATTCAATACCATGGTCAGAAAGGACACAGGGAGACAGCTTTCAAAGAAAAGAACGGGGAGTTCCTCTTGGGGGCTGAAGGTGGGGAATCACCAGGGACACAAATGGCAGCTGCTGATGGGGATGTTTTCTCTCCACCTGGCAGGTGGTTTATGCTGGTGTTATCCTCTGTCCACGCTGCAATGGGTGGAAAGCTCTCAGATCTAACCCTCTTTTCCCCAACCCCCTTCTTCTTTTGTTTGAATTAATGTGATTGTTAAAAATACACTAAAGTAGGAGAGAGATCCAAGATGGCTGATCACTAGCAGCTCGGGATTGCAGCTCCCACTGAAAGAGCAGAGAACGAGAGCCACACTTTCAGATCAATTTTTGTTGCTCACACACCAGGAGATTCCCAGCGGAGGAGCCCCACGTGTCGCCAGCGTGACTCTTGAGGCCGGCGAGGCGGTTTTGCAGCTGCCTTGGTGTGGCGGTTCTTGGTGCAGAGTCAGAAAAGCACCATCAATCTTAAAGCCGCTGTTTTGGCCGGAGCAGTGGGTTGCTCAGATTCTAGTGCCGGGAATCAACAAGTTGGATGTCCATTCAGAAACCCAACTATAAAGACGGTAATTATAAAGACCACAGATGGATAAATTTATAATGAAGGGAAGAAACCAGCCTAAAAAGGCTGAGAATACCCAAAATCAGAATGCCTCTCCCTTTACAGGGGATCACAGTTCCTCATCAGCAACAGAACAAGGCCTGATGGAGAAAGGCTGTGTTCCATTAGCAGAAGCTGGCTTTAAAAAGTGGATGATAAGAAACTTCTGGGAATTAAAAGAACTTGTTTTAATCCAATGCAAAGAAACCAAGAACTTTGAAAAAAGGTTTGAAGAAATGTTAACAATAACACACAATTTAGAGAGGAATATAAGTGAATTAATGGAGCTGAAAAATACAACACGAGAACTTCGCGAACTATGCATAAGTTTTAAAAGCCGAATTGATCAAGCAGAAGAAAAGATATCAGAGGTCGAAGACCAACTTCATGAAATAAAACAAAAAGACAAGATTAGAGAAAAAAGGATAAAAAAGAACGAGCAAAGTCTCCAAGAAATATGGGACTATGTGAAAAGACCTAATCTATGTTTGATAGGTGTACCTGAATGTGACGAAGAGAATCAATCCAAGCTGGAAAATACACTTCAGGATATTATTCAGGAAAACTTTCCCAACCTAGCAAGGCAGGACAATATTCAACTCCAGGAAATACAGAGAACACCACAAAAATATTCCTCAAGAAGACCAACCTCAAGGCACATAATCGCCAGATTCACCAGGGTTGAAATGAAAGAGAAAATACTGAGGGCAGCCAGAGAGAAAGGTCAGGTTACCCATAAAGGGAAGCCCATCAGACTCACAGCAGATCTCTCAGCAGAAATCCTACAAGCCAGAAGAGAGTGGGGGCCAATATTCAACATCCTTAAAGAAAAGAACTTTCAACCCAGAATTTTACATCTAGCCAAACTCAGCTTCATAAGCGAAGGAAAAATAAAATCTTTTGTGAACAAGCAAGCACTCAGAGATTTCATCACCACCAGGCCTGCTTTACAAGAGCTTCTGAAAGAACCACTACAAATAGAAAGGAACAACCAGTATCAGCCTTTCTAAAAAATACCAAAAAAAAATAAAGAACATCAACATAATTAAGAAATTGCATCAACTAATGGGCAAAACAGCCAGCTAACATTAAATGACAGTATCAAACACACATATATTGTTATTAATTCTAAATTTAAATTGACTAAATCCCCCAATCCAAAGACACAGACAGGCAAAAAAAACCAAGACCCATTGGTATGCTACATCCAGACCCAACTCACATGCAAGGATACACAAAGACTCAAAACAAAGGGATGGTGAAAAATTTACCAACCAAATGGAGAGCTAAAATAAATAAATAGAAAGCAGGAGTTGCAATTTTTGCTGATAAAATAGATTTCAAAGCTACAAAGATCAAAAGAAGCAAAGAAGGATATTACATAAAGATAAAAGGATCAATGTAACAAGAAGAGCTAAAGATCCTAAACATATATGCACCCAATACAGAAATACCCAGATATATAAAGAGACTTGGACCCCCACACAATAATAGCGGGAGACTTATTAAATAGATCAATGAGACAGAATGTTAACATCGATATCCAGGACTTGAACTCAGATCTGGAACAAGTAGACTTAATTAACATTCATAGAACTCTCCATTTTAAATACACAAAATATACGCTCTTATCAGTACACTCTCCCAATCCATCCCATTCCCCTGTCTCAGACTTGAGAGAAACTTAGAATTTTGGAAAACTTCTACTCTTTTTTTTTTGAGACAAAAAAAAAAAAAATACACTAAAGTAGAAACAACCCAAATGTCCATCAACGGATGAGTGGGTATAGAAAACATGGTATATGTATGATCCAGGAATCCCACTGCTGGGTATTTATCCAAAAGAAAGGATATCCGTATATCAGAAGATGTCCACACACCCATGTTCACAATAGCCAAGATAGGGAATCAACCTAAGTGTCCACCAGTGAAGGAATGGATAAAAAGACTGTGGTATATATATACAGTGGAATACTATTCTGCCATAAAAAAGAATGAAATCCTATCATTTGCAGCAATATGGATGGAACTGGAGGTCCTTATGTAAAGTGAAATAAGCCAGACACAGAAAAACAAATATCATACGTTCTCACATATGTGGGAGCTAAAAAGTTGATTGCGTGGAGGTAGAGAGTGCAATGGTGGTTACCAGAGGCAGGGGAGAGGAATGGGGGATAAACAGTCATTGGTTAAGAAATACAAAAATACAATTGAATAGAAGGAGTAAGTTCTAGTATTTGATAGTACAGTGGGGAGATTATAGTTAAAATTAATTTATCATATATTTCAAAATAGCTGGAAAAGATGTATAATGGTCCCAACATAAAGAAATGATAAATATTTGAGGTGACGGATATTCTAGTTAACCTGATTCGATCATTACGTATTGTATACAGTTATCAAAATATCACATGCACCCCCAAAATATATACAATGATTAAATCTCAATTGAAAACATAAAATATATGTGGCATATACATGCAATAGAAAATTATTCAGCCTTACCCAGCACTTTGGGAGGTTGAGGCAGGCAAATCACTTGAGGTCAGGAGTTCGAGACCGGCCTGGCCAACATGGTGAAACTCTATAAATATACAAAAATTAGCCAGGCATGGTGGCAGGTGCCTGTAACCCCAGCTACTTGGGAGGCTGAGGCAGGAAAATCATTTGAACCCGGGAAGTGGAGGTTGCAGTGAGACAAGCCCAAGATCGTGCCACTGCACTGCAGCCTGGGCAACAGAGAGAGACTCTGTCTAAAAAAAAAGTGTGAGTGTGGTGTGTAATCCCCGCACTTTGGGAAGCCAAGGTGAGAGGATCATTTGAGGTCAGCAGTTTGAGACCAGTCTGGCCAACATGATGAAACCCTGTCTCTACTAAAAATACAAAAAACTGAGCTGGGCATGGTGGCGCACACCTGTAGTCCCAGCCACTCAGGAGGCTGAGGCACAAGAATTGCTTGAACCCAGGAGGTGGAGGCTGCAGTGAGCTGAGATGGTGCCACTGCACTCCAGCCTGAGTGACAGAGTAAGACCCTACCTCAACAACAAAAAAAACAAAGAAAAAAATTACTCAGCTTTAAAAAGAAAAGAAATTCTAGGACCAGTCACAAAAAGACAACAGTGTATGATTCCACTAATATAAGGTACCCAGAGCAATCAAATTCACAGAGACAGAAAGTAGAGGCTGGGCGCGGTGACTCATGGCTGTAATTCCAGCACTTTGGGAGGCCAAGGTGGGTGGATCACGAGGTCAGGAGTTCAAGACCAGCCTGGCCAACATAGTGAAACACCGTCTTTACAAAAAATACAAAAATTAGCCAGGCACGGTGGCAGGCGCCAGTAATCCTAGCTACTCGGGAGGCTGGAGCAGGAGAATTGCTTAACTATCCTGGCCAACATGGTGAAACCCTGTCTCTACTAAAACAAAAAATTAGCT